TTACCAACAGCCCAACTTAAGAGTAAACCCAAAATCCAATCCAATATATCTGAACCCTTACCAATCACATATTCATCGGCTGATGTGTGAGAACGGACAATTACGAAGGCACGACAACTTTGAATTTTTCTCTCAGCCTCTCATTGTCTCACTCTCATCTCTGTGAGCCCTTGATATGGTGCCGCCTGCATCGCCTTTCTTCCATCGATACCATCAGTGAAAGCTAAATCTCAATTTATCAATTCACGATTACTTCATTCTCAAAATATACCTCAATGTCTTCTCTCGTCCCTATCTGTTGCCACTGCTACGGAGGTACTCATTTTGTTTATATTTTTTTCTTGTTCTTTTAAAATATTTTAAGATGGAGAATCTTATTTGGGGTGAGCTGTGGAGCTAGAGGGTTTTGTGCCTTCACTGTCGTGTGCTGGGTAGTGGGTGGTGGGATTATTTTCAGATTTTGATAGGATTAGGTAATCACGTTATGGGATTATGATTTATTGCTCAACTATTGAATGAGATTAGGATTATATTGAATCGGATTTTGGGAATAGGATTTATTGCTAATATATTCTAGTTCCTTTTAAATATTGAATGGGAATCAAAAATGGGATTAGGATTTAGGATTATATTCAAACTGTGTTTCTAACTCAAAAGCTAAATATAAAGAACTAGTTTGGTAAATTTAGTGTTTGCTTCTAAATCTTTCTACGGTTTTAAAAATTTTGGGTAAGTGTACAAAAATTTCTAATTTTCCTTTTGCTGGAACAACATGTATAATGCTTAACCTTATATGCTAGTACATAAATTTCCCTTTTGTTGCAACAAACAGAACTTATATTGTTAGGCATCATTAGTAAACAACAAAAGATAGGGACTGCTGCAAGTTAACAATTACCTCATTAAATGGCCATAAATTGCAACCCCTGCAAGAGATAGGTTCTTCCCTTATTAAAATACTTTTGAGGTCTGATAAATTTATTTTTACCATTTACAAATTTAGTTGTGTAAACATGGCTCGTTAGTTGTTGGCACAATATCGAGAAGTAGTTGTCCTTGCTCCATTTGGGTCAGTTATTATGCTACAACTCAAGCTCCCTAATGGCCTCCCGTTTCTTGCTTGCTTCTCTATTTAAGTTGGGATGAGTTTCTTTTCTTCATTCTAGGCTCACAAGTTGTGAAGAAATCAAGTTCATTTCTTTCCCTACTTAAATGCCCCATGGTAGGCACGTTCTACAAAAGTCGTGCACCTGGTGAACCACCATTCGTGAAGGTAATTGATATAAATTTGATGATGGAAAAAGGAAAAAAAATGAAGGTAGGAACGGATTTGTATTTGAACGGTAGATGTGTCTATCAATTTTTTGTATACAACACATGCTCAAAAGAAATTATCTTGTTATTGGCTTTACCCTTGTTTAGACTATTTCAATGCTTTATTTCTTCTTTCACAATTCAAGGCTTCACATCTCTCTGCATTCGCATCGTTACATGGTTATATAATCATAAACTACAACCCTATATCAATTGATACCCTGAGTAGCTGCATTTGAATGGTCATTTTATTCCAGCATCATAATTTATTCCATATATCAGCTGCTAGATGACACTATATCAGTGTTGACACTGTGAATTCTCTGTCTAATCATCATTGGTTGATGGCATAAGTGATATACTATTTTAATCTCTCTTCACTTTAAGTGTGTCCTGATGTTTCTTACACCTGTTTACAACCTTTGTTTTTTATTGAACCATAGAGCAAGCAGAGTTAAAAGTGTGGTATTAAGGAATAAGATGGTATGTCTTGTATTTAAGGGGGGTTGCAGCATGCCTTTTACTCCCAGGGACGTGTT